TATATTATATATTATATATTTATTATTGAATATTGCAATATTTCTTCACCATTTTGATTATAATTTAATTTTATTTTATTTATTAATTCGTTAAAAGATTCATTAATATTTAAATTTTCTTTGGAGGATACTTCGAAAAAAAGAGCACCAATTGAATGGGCATAATCTCTGGCAGCATCACTATTCACACATTCTTTAAAATTTGATTTATCTCTTTCATCTGATTTGGTTCCAATTATCATCAGGTGATCATATATTTTTTTTTTATTATCCATAACTTCATTTTCGTTATTTGATTTTTCTTTTAAATATTCCTGGTACCAATGAGTTTTAATAAAGTTGAATGACTTTATGTTTGTTATGTCATAAACCATTATGATTCCATCGAAATTCTTTAATATAAAAGCAGGAATACCTATATAATAATAATTGGGTATACAATGATCCCAAACATTGATTTTAAAATTTTCAATAATTATATTGTAAAAATCTTGATGTAATGGTTTTTTTTCAAATTCTTTATTACAAAATCTTTTAATTATGGATGTAGCTCCTTTTATTATAATTTATATTAGATTTAAATATAATTAAAAATAAATATTGGATAATACAAACCTACTTTACATCCAATAATTTGTAAGTTAATGTTATATCTTTTATTAGACATTTTATTTATCTTTAAACAAAATAGAATCTATTAAATTCTTTCACCACACATTAAATTTCATTTTCTTTATTTTTTCTGAAAAATATAAAAAAAAAATTTCCAAAATTTTTTAATTTTTTAATTTTTTTTTATAATTAAAATAAAAAAATCATTGATTAATACATTTTAATATTAAATGAATCAAATCTCAACTTAAAAATAAATATTAAATATTAAATAATAAATTAAAAATTAAAATTAAATAAAAATTAAAAAAAAAAAAAATTTTTTTTCTTATATTTTTTATTAGGGGGTCAAAACTTTTGCGAACAACTGTTCAACATATTAATTTTCTTTTTAATTTTTGTTTATTTTCATAAAAATTGGTACGAGTAAAATATTTTGATTATTGTAACTCTTCCCCGTTGGTTTTTTTTTTTTTTTTGCTTTTTAAAAATATATTGGAATGTTTATTCCATTTTATTATTTTATTAATTATAAGACCTAAGTACCTGAATTGACCAGATATTACTTGAAGCAAAATTTAAACTTTGCAATTTTGGTTGAATAAATTGAATTATTCTGAGGTAACTTAATTTATTATTGCAAGAATAATAAATTTCCGGAGATCCAACTTTCTTTTAAGGTGGTGTTACTTCATAAAAGATGCCCGCATCTTAGCTAATAGAATATGAATTAAACATTACAGCCCTTGGCAGTTTAGCATAGCATAAGTTTCATCTTGTACGGAGAACCTTGGGTTAGTGTTTCCTTGCAAAGGAAACCTTCTATCCAGTTAAATAGCACGTATACAGCTCGGTATAACTTTAGTGCATTGGCGTAGAGTCTTGTTAATCCTTTCGGTTGACTATGGATATGTACAGATGCCATATATATCTTTTATTTAGAATAAAATGATATATTGTTTTAAAAAAAAAAAATGAAAAAAGAAAAATGAAAAATAAAAAAAAGAAAAATAAAGTGGTAATAAATAAATGTGAACATTCGTTTTCGAATGAATCATTTATTGGTGGTAAATAAAGTGGTAGGTTTAATTTTTGGTAGATAATAGTGGTAGGGTCTGATGAATTTAAGGTATAATTTCATCATCTAGTTTAATGGTAAAAATTTTAGTAACATTGCATTAAAATCAACATAAAGTGGTATACTATTTGGTTGTAAGCCAAATGGTTCTGGAATTGTGAATTTTGGTTTTAATATTCCTTTTTCGATGTTGATTTTAATAATGTTTTGTTCGGATGATTTTTTAGGAAAATATTTCTTGTCAAATCATTTGTGAATGTTGTGGTAGTATTTTCTTTGGTTCTGTTTACCTTAGATGCACCAGTGTAGTTTTAGATTATACTGGTTATGTTGTGATGTGGTGTAGTTGTTGTTTCAAAAAAAAGAATTTATTCATTATTATTAATAATATTTTTTAAAAATTTTTTTTGAAAATTTGTGTTTAATTTATATGATGATTTTGGATGGTAATTTTTGTTTTAATAGTTCTGGTTTTTTAGTATGTTAAAAGTGTTATTTAGGTGACCAGACTTATTAAATTTTGGAATACATTTTAGGTATTCTGGATAAGTATTTTAAAGAGTATTTAGTGAATAAAATGGATTTTGAGCAGAATGTTTATTATTTTGTAGTGGAATAATGCAATTATTAGTATCCAAGTTATCATCACCATTATTTTGATTATTATTTTTTTAAATTTTTTTTGTGAATGAATAAATAAAAGAGATACACCGATCAACTAGTGAGATCTCAGTTAGATTTCGTCTACTTAAAAAAGTTTTAAAAAATCAAAGAAAATTTTGGATTTATTTAAAACAGTTAATGAAAGTGTATGTGGTGATATATGTAGATTATATAAAAATCAACAAAAGTGTGTAAAAATAAAATGAATTGTATAAAAAGTGATAAATATCATTAAAAAAAATGAATGATGTTGTAATTAGTGGTAATTAATTATAGTTAAAGATATGGTAATAATAACTATAATAAAAAAGTGTTGATACACCAGTAGTATGTAAATTTTGTGTATGACTCTTCCCCGTTGGTCTAGTGGTGAGGATTTTCGCCTGTCACGCGAAAGGCCCGGGTTCAATTCCCGGACGGGGAGTCTTTAATAAGAAATAATCTTCCGGGTGATACACTATTTTTGCAAGTTGCCCTTTCAGGTTTTCGGAATCATACACGAATTGGGGGAGCAATGATAGCCAAGTGGTCGAACGAATTTCCTACAAGTTACCGCTCCGGGTTCGAAACCTAGTCTCAGCAGATTTTCCGAATCACACACGAATTGACGTTACCGTGCCCAACTTGTATGCAGTGTGGTAAAACTCATATAAGCATTAAACACATACCAAACACAATAAACTGATGACTTAATATATCATTAAGAATCATCTTCACTTTTAAAAAAAAAAAAAAAAAAAAAAAAAAAAAAAAAAAACACGAATTAAAGTTTTTAATATAAGTAAAATTTTAAAAAAAAAAAAACCGACAAGTGTTAACATCATATAAAATCTTATTTTTACTGATTAATTTAAAGCATTTGCTTTTAATTATAAATTTTTTTGTACACATCATCAAAATTTCATTTGTAATAATATATAATTTTAATTTTAATTTATTCTTTTTATTTAGAAAACTTTTGAACTTGAAGAAGCAAACTCAAAGCTTAATATTGAAATCCAAGTTCAAGTTAAGAAATTCAATGACCTTAAAGTACGTGCCCAATCAAGATTAGAAGATGCATCGGAACAATTATCCGAAATTAAAAAAGTTGCCAATAAAGAAATTTTTAAACTTGGTTTGAAATTGAAAGATTCAGAATCTAAATTGGTTTTGAAAAAAAACAAAACAAAACGATGATATGGCCAAATCACGTGAGGTATTTTTTTCAAAAGCTCCAAGTTGCAACAATAATGAAATTGACAATTTAAAAAAGTAAAAGATAAGGAAGCCCTACTTTCTATTAGAGAAAATCCAGGGTATCATTTCATCTAGATCAAACTCATCAATATCAATACTTTTTTATCTCAATTAGCTCTTCAAATATATCATAACCATACAAGCACAGGAGGTCATTACTGACTCATCAAAATTTGTTCAAATATTTAAGAAAACATTAAAGCTTTTACACCATATATCAAAACTCATCATCAAAACATCACATCACCACCAAAAAACAATTAATAGAAGTTAAAACAATTATTGGACCATGCAGGTAAAAAACCACCACTTAGATTCACTGGAAAAGCATATCCAAGCATAGCTAAACCAATCAATATTTAAAAACTAATATTATTTATAAATTTAATTAAATAATCATTTAATAAATAAATTTATAATAATTAATAGTTTTAATAATTAAATTAAATAAATAAAATAAATTATTTCATAAAAATATATAATTATATAAATAACAATCATTTTAAAATTAAAAAAAATAAAATATATATTAAAAAATAAAATATAAATTAATATAAATTTAAAAAAATACCACCCTTTTTTATATCAAAAATAAATAAAAAAACCCACAATTTCATTGCAGATATTAATGTATTTCACTTACTTATATTAAAATAATATATAAAGCATAGTCTGATCAAATATTTAATAATTGCACTTTTTTTAATTATTTAAATATCTATATTACTGTATTTCTTTTTTCCCTTTTTTTCTTTTTTTAATTTCTTTTTTTTTATTAAAATGTATTTTTTTTATTTTATTTTTTTATAAATCATTAAAAACATTAATATTAAACTCAGTTCTATGAATAAATTAAAGATAAATGTTCAATTTTTTTTTTTAAACCAAATTTTTTTTAAAATAAAAAAGTATGGTAAGTATTTCAAATATCAAAGAGATAGTTTAATCATATAATATTTAATTAAAATTCTCAATTTAAATAAAAAAAGGTTATAACTAAATGAAAAATATATGTATACCAACAAAAATTTTCAATTAAACAGTATAATATTGTTTTTTATTTTTTTTAATTTTTTTTAATTTTTTTTTTTTTTTTTATAATTCAATATTATAATTATTATTTTGTTATATTTTCTTTTTTTTTTTTAAAATTTTTTTTTCTTTTTATCATATATTATTTTTCTTTGTTATATAATATTATAATTTTTTTCAAAATTTTTTTTTTTTCAATTAAAATTTTATAAATTTTATTTTGTATATATAATCACCATTTCTTCTTTTTTAATAGCAATCATAATAAAATGTTTGATTTAGATAGTTTAGTCATTGTTTTTTTTATTTTTTTTTATTCTGTATTTAATTCCCTCATTACCATAATCATCCTCAAATATTATTATTGTCCACAACAACAAAACAATAATGGTAGAATGTTTACTAAAGAGGATGTCGATCATCTTTTGGAAAATCAAAAGAATGAAATTCTAAAAAATGTAAGTTTCATTTAACATAAAACTATATTTTATAATTTATTAATATTTTTTTTTTATTAATATTTAGTTTTCCAATGAAAAAGCTATTCTATCAAAAGAAAATGAGGATATTCAATTTAAATTGGAAAAAAAACAAAACAAAATTTCAAAACTAAATGGTTTGGTATCAGATTTAAACAATATAATGAAGGATGTTCTAGGAAAACCTCTATCAGTACCAGAAACAACAAAATTGAAAAATGCTTTAGAAGAAAATGAGAAATTAAAAAAGGTAAATATTTGATTAGAAATAAATATTTAATAAAATAAAATAATATAAATGATTAATGATTAACCATTTTTAATTAATATTTAATATTATAAATATTATTTTACACATCATCAAAATTTCATTTTACTAATATCTTATTTTAATTTTATTTTATTCATTTAATTTAGGAAATGTTTGAAGTTGAACAAAAAAACTCACAGCTTAATAATGAAGTCCAAGTTCAAATTAAGAAATTCAATGCCCTTAAAGGACATGCCCAATCAAGATTGGAGAATGCATCGGAGCAATTATCCGAAATTAAAAAAGTAGCAAAAAAAGAAATTTTAGAATTAAGTTTAAAATTGAAAGACTCAGAATCAAAATTGGCTTTGAAAAATAAACAATACGATGATATGGCCAAATCACGTGAAGAATTTTTTTCAAAAGCTCCAATTGACAACAATAAGGAGTCATCTAAAGAGTCACATTGATTAAACCACTCCAATTATAACTCGACCAATAATGGGTCAGAAAATCCAGGGCATAATTTCATATAGATCAAATTAATCAATACCAACAAATTCTTTTTATCTCATATATTTCATAACGATATAGACACAGGAGGCATTACCGATTCATCAAACTCATCATCAAAACATCACATCACCACCAAAAAACAATTAATAGAAGTTAAAACAATTATTGGACCATGCAGGTAAAAAACCACCACTTAGATTCACTGGCAAAGCATATCCAAGCATAGCTAAACCAATCAATATTTAAAAACTAAATTATTTATAAATTTAATTAAATAATCATTTAATAAATAAATTTATAATAATTAATAGTTTTAATAATAAAATTAAATAAAGAAAATAAATTATCTCATAAAATATTTAATTATATAAATAAAAAAAAAAAATTAGTGTTTAAAAATTATCTTTATCTTCAGTTTTTACCCAATTGTCGCTGGATTACCCATTAAAAAAATTATATTTTTTTTAAAATTGTCATTTTTTTTATAAAAAATTATTCAATTTGATATAAAAAAATAAATAGCTTGATTAAACAAAAAAATTAAAAAAATTAAAAAAAATTTTATTTATTTTAATTATTTTATTGTGCAGATAATTTTTTCTTTAAAATTTAACAATATTTTTATCCATAACAAAATTTTCAGTGACAGAAAAAATTTAGTAATAATAATTATAATCCACACATAATTTAGTATCAATTACAAAAACAGATATGGATAATAAAAATGAAAAATTATTTTTTTCAGTTTGGAGAAACAAGTTTTTATTAAATGAAATACAAAGACATCACAGGTTATATATAGAAAATAAAATAATACGTATTTACAAGTCAATGGATCAACTTAGATACCATCCACATAGAAGATATGCAACAGAAATTATAATTGATGTTAACGAACCATTACATGGTCAAGTAATACCCTATGGTACAACCAAATTAAAATTCTTTGTTAGTTTTTTAAAACAAATTCAAGCAGGCGATATTCCAACAACTGTCACTTCTTTACAATTTACTAATTCTGATAGAGAATTTCATAATAGTTTGTATTATCATGATTTCGATATAAAATCAGTTGTCCCACCAAGTGTTACTGAATTGAAAGTCGGTATAGATCAAGAAATTTCACCAAATACATTACCACCATCGCTTACCAGTTTAGCAATGAAAAAAAATCAAGATATACCTATTGGAACTTTCCCACAATCATTAACTAAATTAATACTTTATAATTTCAATAGAACAATTATACCTGGTTCATTTGGTTCAATTGTAGATTTAAGCTTACACTCATTTAATAAACCTTTAGAAGCTGGTGACTTACCTATAACATGTAAATATCTAAATCTTTTCTCTTATGATCAACCACTCCAACCAAATATTCTTCCACCTCAATTAGAAAAATTATTTTTATTAAGCTTTAACCACCCACTATCATACAGTGTATTTCCAAAATCAATCACTAATCTAAGCATGAGCGAATTTGATCGCCCATTGTCCAACTATTTATCAGCACTACATTCATTAAAAGAACTCGATTTACCAATGTTTAATCAAGAGATATTGGATATCCAAACATTTCCACACTCAATCAAATCTTTATTTTTGAATAATTTTAATCAAGTTATAAAACCAAATGTACTTCCACCATCAATAACCAATCTCGTTTTAACTTCATATAACCACCCACCTTCAGACGGTGTATTTCCAGAATCAGTCACCTCACTACGTATGAACAACTTTAACCACCCATTATCCAACTCTCTAGCAAAACTACATTCATTAAAAACCCTCTATTTACAAGAATTTAATCAAGTTATAAAACCTAATGAACTTCCATCAATAACTAATCTCAGTTTAAGTCATTATAACCACCCACTTTCAGACGGTGCACTTCCAGAATCAATCACTTTGCTATATATGAACAAGTTTAATCACCCGTTATACAACTCCCTTTCAACACTACATTTATTAAAATCACTCTATTTACTAAATTATAATCAAGAGATATCGATCGAAACATGTCTCACACCCTCAATAGAGACATTAAAATTGTTGGGATTTAACCAAGTTATAAAACCAAATGTACTTCCACCATCAATAACCAATCTCGTTTTAACTGCATATAACCACCCATTAGAACCACATGTAATACCACCAAATGTGAAAAAATTACATCTAACATCATACAATTGTAATCTTGGTAAACATTTATTTCCAAATACTTTACAACATTTAGTTATATCAAACCATTCAAAGGAATTATTGGAACATGATTTACCATCATCAATTACAGAACTGCATTTCGATTCGAATATTGGTTATTCTTTTAATCCAATTCGATTTCAAACCAATTCAATACCACCATCAGTAAAAAAATTAATACTCCCAGATAACCATTCCCAACCTCTTCAAGTCGGTACAATACCCAATTCGGTAGTAGATTTAGAGCTACCCATAATCTATTCCCACCCTCTTCAAGTCGGTACTATACCAAATTCAGTTACATATTTAACATTACCTCTATTATCTAGTCCTCTTCAAGTAGGTTTATTACCAGAATCTCTCACTAAATTAACCTTTAGTAAAGGATTTGATCAACCTATAGACCCAGCTACCATTCCACAATCTGTTACTCAAATACTATTGCCTCGTTATTATAGATATCCAATACCAAACTCTTTATTAAATATAATAAAAACATAAAAATAATTATAATACTAAGAGCATGAAAAAGGGCTTTTCGAAATTTTTATAGTGGATATGCAGGAATGATTTGGATTGATTAGTTTTGTAATTCTTTATCTTTTTGAATTTGTTGAAAAACTTTTTCTCATAAAGGTTGGACTATCATCTGGTTTTTTACTACGGATGATCTGCTGTTTGGTTGTTCTAAATTTAGAAAATTAAAAAAAAAAAAATTTATAATATAAAATATAAAAAAATTATAAAAAAATAAAAATTTTTTGTTCAGGGTTATAACTAATAAAAATAAATAAAAAATAAAATAATAAATCATTGATTTTTAAATGGTCACAGATCTTTCTTTATGGTATAATGGATAGTTAATATATAGTTTATTTTAATTTTATTATTTTTGATTTGGTAATGCTGGTAATTTTTTAAAATTACCGCCTGTTGGTCTTAATAAAAAGCTGGAGGATGGTGATGTTGTTGTGCTGTTTGGAACGCTTGTCGAACCTGATGGTGATGTTGAACTGCCTGTGGATTTAAATGTTGATGCTGGTAATGTACTAGATTGACCAATAGTTTTATTTGCAACAGAATTAAATTTAAGTGTTGATCCTGGAGTAGTTGCGGACGATGATTGTGTTGGTAAGGCGGGTAATGCTTTAGCTGTAGAGGGTTTAATAATTGATGATGATGGTGATGGTATTGGTGATGAGGTTGTTGATGATGATGATGGATTTGATGTAATATTAGCTGGTTTTGGTGGTAATGCTCTTGAAGGTTTTAAAATTGGTGGTGAAATTGGGTGTTGAGGTGTTGAGGTTGGTGAAGTTGACGATGGTGAGGTTGTGGTGGAGGTTGATGATGGCGAGGTTGCAGTATTACCACTATTACTTGATTGTGGGGTGGAGAGACTCAAAGAGGAATGCGATGGTGGTTTAGTAAATGAAGAAACAGGAGCTGGTTTTGGGGTAATTGAGGCTTGTGATAAATTGTGTCTTAAAGGAGGTTTAGCTGATGGAGTTGGGGTAATGTTTGATGATATTGTTGAGTTGACTGGTGTAACAGAAACTGATGGAGAAGAGCTTGCAGTAGTGGTGGAGCTATTATTTAAGGTAGATGAAACTGGTGATGAAACAATTTGGCTACTTGAAATATTTCTTGAAATTTTTCTAACCAAAGGTGGATGTGGGGTTACTGGAGCAGTCACTGGGTTTACATTACTACTAGTGTTATTGAATATTGATGATACGCTTGGTCTCTGAACAATTGAATTGGTTCTTTTAAATGAACCTGTACCATTTTGAATAATATTGGCATTATTATTATTATTTGTTAACTGTGGTGAATTGGTAGGAGGTGGAGTAGTAGTTATAGTTGGAGTTATACCAGCCATTTGACATAATCTTAAGTGAATATCTGGGAATGTTGGTCTTAATAAAGGATCATTTTGCCAACAATCTTTGATTAGTTGAACATAATCTGCATTCGAACCTGCTGGGATAGATGGTCTTAAACCATTCATAATTTCATCTTCTAATTGGTACATGAATGAAGAGTGAGCAACCGGGTATTCATCAAATGGTAACTGGCCAGTTAAAATTTCCCAAAGTACAATACCAAAGCTGTAAACATCAGCCTTTTCGGTGTACTCTTCGCCTCTCATGATCTCTGGTGATAACCAAATTGGATTTGATAATTTATCACGACCGAGGGCGCTAGTTACTACAGCTCTAGTTTCACCGAAATCGCTGACTTTACAGACTACATTAGCATTCATATCGGAAAGCATAAGAATATTTGGAGACTTTAAATCACGATGACAAATCTTTGGAGTGAAATTATGCATATGTTTGATGGCATCAGCAATATTAATTGAAATCTTTAGCTTGAGTGGCCAGCCAATTGGTTTTTCAGCTGAAGCTTTGTGGAGATAACTATAGAGTGTACCATTTGGGATATATTCCATTACAATACAACATGGATCTAAACAATAACCTTTAAGAGATACAATACTTGGATGGGTAAGGATATTTGATAACCAAACTTCTCTTCTAAACTCACGATAAATTTCTTCGGCAGCTGCTTGGTTATTACCATTCATTGCAATTTGTTTGATGGCAACTAGCTCACCACGTAATTTACCTTTGTGTACGATACCAAAACCACCTTCACCTACTTGTTCAATAATTTCCAAGTCTTTATATTCTAATGTGAAATTTGGTCCAATATCAGACATTAATAATTCTGGTACTAATGAATCTAAACGAACAATAGTTTCCTCTCCGGTAATGTTACTCTTGCAAATCATTTCAAATTTCTTTGAAAGGAAGGTACGTTCAATATCTTCATATAAAAACATTGTACGTAAATCATGTGATTTGAATACTGGGCCAAATGTTAGTTGTTGATTGATCATATTGGAAACTTTGGTTAAATCGATTGGTTGTTGTTGATTTTGTTTACTGCCACTGCTATTGGTTTTATTATTTCTATAGAGTGTAAGGAATTTATTTTGATTCTTCTTTCTCTTTGATTTTAATGTTCCTCCTGGTGATACATCACCCTCGTAATAATCTGAAAAATCTAAATCGAGTGAATCACCTGAAGCTTCTGCAGAATCTAATGAATTTGTTAATGGTGGTGATAAAACAGATGGAGTTGATGAGGCAGATGATACCGATGAGGTGTTTGATATATTCGAATTTAAAGACAAAGTTGATGAGTTACTTGACAAACTATTGCTGCTATTGCTAGTATTTAAAGTTGGACCACCACCCATCATACCATTTACTACGCCACTTGAATTACCTGTACTAAAACCAAGAATAGATATACAATTCAAACAGTTACATGGTACTAAAAAGTGGAATTGTAATTTGTACCAACCAGAGATTAAGAGCTCGGCTGTTTCTATAATGAAACGAAGTACATTTGAAGGATTAGTACCCCAAGCTTTAAGATTAATTTGACTATAGCTATGAATTGATTCTATTAAACATGTTGAGCCATCCCTTTCGACTAATAAACCATTCTTCCAATACTCTTTAACGGTGGTGAAATGCATGGTTCTAATCATTAATTTGGAAAAGAAACCAACTGGTAAAAATTCAAATTGATAAATTCTTTCTAAAAAGTTTTGTTCTTTATTAATAATATGATCCATAACTTTTTCGATTGAATTTGGTCTCTCTTCGCTTAATAAAATTGGTACTAAATGTTTGGTACTAGCTTTTGGAACTAAATTATTCTCATTCGAAATCGATAATGAGTTTGTTGTGGTTGTAGCTGTTGAAGAAGAAACTGTTGAAACATTCAAACCAGCTTCGTTCAATTTTTTAACTAGATTTAATGATGAACCTTTAGAAATTGAACCATTTCCAAATCTTGAAACACCATTTAATAATGTAGTTGATGATTGATTGGTAGATTTATTATTAAATGCTTTTTTAGCCTCGGTTACCGCTGATGATTTACTGGGCACATTTGATTTAATATTAGAGCTGTTGTTATTCTTATCTGGTAATGGATGCACAATTTCAAACTTTTGTAAAATAGCCAATAATACATGGTGAAGATGTTGTGGGAAATCTGGTGGCTTCCAAATTTGGTGTAAATTGGATTGATCTAAAACACCAGATTGAACAAAGTTTGGTTTACTTGTGATAATAGTGGCCATTAAACGTGTTAACCAGGGAGGGTCAATGAAAATAAATTGATCAAGTCCACTCTTGACATCATCAAAGTACACTATTATACCTAATTCTTTGAGGAAATCTGCTGCTTTATTAACTGCTGTAGCTGGAATACCACAACTTTGAGCCATATCAGAGAATTCATCAAATGTAATAATTGGTGGTGTATTCATTTCCCTTTCGCTTAATATTAATGATTCTAGTTGGAAAAATGATCTATTATAGACTTCACCTAATTTCTTTTCAAGCTTACCAAGCTTTACAATATGATTTTGAAGCTTATTAATATTCTTTCCAGATTTACAACTGACAGGAAGGAAGAGTTTTAAATTTGGGAATTTGGTAAAGTATTTGTTGTGAATTTCTTGAGTAATTTGATTAATATCAACACCATTTGGTAACTCGTCTAAATGAGTACCGACTAGAATAACTGAGGAATCACCACCAAATGCTTCAATACATTGAAGCCAATAGGGAACACGGGATACTTCATCAGGATTGTAAACAGACATATCAAATACCACAATAAAAACTGAACGGCTACTAATAAAGAATTGATGAGTTGAATAATATACCTCTTGACCAGCAAAATCCCAAATTGAAAATGTTACTGCAGGTGATTGATCTTCAGATGGAGGTCTCCAATCATCCATATTAATACCATCAGTACTAATATTTAATGAAGTATTTAATGGATTAATATTTTGAGGGGCATTGAAATCTATGGAACTTGATTGTTCCATTAGGGTTGGAGTTTTATTCTTTTTAGTTCCTAAACCAATGGTTTGTCTTAATTTCTTGCTTACTGGAATGATTTCTTTTTTCAAACATTTTGCAATACTTGTTTTACCTACATTCTCTTGGCCGACCAACATTAATTTCATACGCATACATGGTTTTTCTTTGGTGGAAGATAGCTTTAAGTATTTTAAAAGACCAGTAAGACCTTCGCCGCTTAGAACATCTGGAATAGTAATTTTTCCAGAGTTATCAAATGAAATTTGATTACCAGTGATATTTAAAAGCTTTAGTTTTGTTAATTGTGATAGTTGCCATGGTAAATATTCGAGTTGATTGTTGGTTAAATTTAAAATAGAAAGATTTGAAAGTTTACCAATTTGTGGAGGTAAATCCTTAATACGATTATTTGATAAATCCAGTTCGGTTAAAGTTTGAATGGAGCCAATTTCAATTGGTAAATAGGATAAACCAGAATCGGATAAATCCAAACGGGTTGATCTAATAGCAATTGATTCATAGATACGCTGTTTGATTGGATGGAAACAAGGTGAGCCATTGATTGAAAATGATTCTAATAAATTTAATTTTTGGAAAATTGAAATTGGTAAACGATTGAAATAATTACGTTGCATCATCAAAACTTTAAGATTTACGAGTTGAGATAAACTATTTACATTGATGGCTTCAATAAAATTAAAACTGATATCAAGATGAGTTAACTTTATTAGTTGACCAATTTCCAATGGTAAAGATGCAAGATTGTTGTGGGATACATTTAATTTGACCAATTCTTTGAGTTCGCAAATTTCAGCTGGTAAAGATGATAATTGATTATTTGATAAATCTAATAATTGTAAATTTTTTAATTCTCTTAAAATGGTTACTGGTATATTACTAATACAGTTGTGATCCAAAAACAATTCTTTTAAATCGCTAAGACGTCTACTATCAGTCATCATCATATTAATCTTATTTAATAATTGCAATGATATTTCTGAATAATCAAACGAACCAATATCTAAAATTCCTTTGCCTGGTGCAATTAGTGAATTGTTTATATTGCTTGTAGCTTGCGATTTAATATTTGAACTACTTGTGGAACTTGTATTAATTTGTTTTTTCTTTTTATCCAAACGATTTGCAATTGAAATTGCCTTTGTTTTAATTTTTTCATTATAATCATTTGGGATTGATGGTAATATGATTCTAGTTAAAACGGTAGTATGATTTGAAATCCATTGATCTAAAATTTCTGATGCCATTTGATTTGAAATATTATTATCTTCTAAAAACAAAGCATTTAAAGTTTGATTAAATTTCAAAAGCTTTGGAATATGTTTAGCACCAACATCAGTAATTTGATTTTGACTTAAAATGACTACAGTAATTGATGGATGTGAGAGGATACCATCGATTAAAGCGGCTAAACCTTTATCACCAATTTGATTTTCGCTGAGATCCATTTGAATCAATGAATGATTGTATCTTAACATATCACCTAAAGCAATGGCACAAGAATCGTTTATTGAATTTTGAGATAATGTTAAATGGGTGATTGATTTGTTCAATGACATCATACTAAGAGTCATTTGCATATATTTATCGGACATAGTTGATGGTGAAAAAACAAGATGGTTGACGAAATGGGTCGAAGCTAAAGCGGCAAATAAAGGTTTTGGATCAGATAGTTTTAAAAGAGATGCGTTTAACTCTACTCTTGGTCTTTGGCCACTAGTGATCATTTTACAAAAAGAAGCAATATCTTTTGGATCATCGTCGTCATCTTTTGAGTCATCATTATTTAAATCGATTTCAATATTAGAGATTGATTGTCTAGATAAACCAATATTTGAATATGGATTTGAATTATTTGATTTTGACTTGTTAGAGTTCAATGTAGCTTGTGATAAAATTTGGAACCAATTCGATTTCTCTTTTTCAGAAGCAGTCATATAAAATATTGAACTATCTTTAGTTTTAATTTGAAAACCTTTTCTATATTCAAACCCTAACTCTGGATCATCCACTTGGATATTTGATATTCTCTCTAATTTCTTTAATAAATAAAATGATCCCTCATATGGCATTAGTGTTGTTGATGTTATAGTTGAGCCATCTTCAATCTTTTCTGTGAATAATATTAAATCTGAAAATAAAAATGTATAATATGAAACTCTTTGATTATTAAATTGTTCGATTAAAATTCCTTCTTTTAAAAACTTTCTATTTTGGACAATATCGGTACTCTAAATAATTATAACTATTATTAGTTTTTTGAATTTTTTTCAAGATTTTTTTTTAAAATTGATACTTACATTAAATAAACCAATGGTTGGTGATTTAATTGATTTTGAAATTGAAATTACTTTATTAATGTTGACCGATTCAGTAACGATGTCTTTGACTACTGCAGTAATTTTCTTATATAAAAGATTGTATGGTTTATAATCAGGATGAAGAACAGGTAGAGAATCCATAATAGTTTTGAAGAAATGGTGGAATCTTGCTAAAAAGTGAATTGGCAATATTAAAAGAGATGCTAAATTGCTATAATTATACTCTTGAGTGAATTTTCCGGATGCAGAGTTAGAACCACCTGTACTAGTAAGAAATGTTGAGTTTCCAGTTCTTCTTAAACTAACTTGGGTGAATGCTGGTTGTGTGCCATTATTATTATTTTGTGCTGCTGACTGATCATATTGTGGCCCTAAAATCTCGGCAAGTGATACAGGCTTAACAGTGGCTGATGATGAAGAAACTGTGACGATAGGTGCCAAAGTATATTGTAAATTTGCTAATTTGGATTCGGCATTCTTTATAAATGTTTCAAACTTTTGATTATCAAACATTAATAAACTTAAACTACTTAAACTATAATTATATTGTAAAGCATAAACTTGGTATAGTTTTAAGTATCCAACCTTTAGAGAGAATAAAAAAAATTATAATTAATATAAAATTATAATTTTTATATATTTACAATTATATTTATACATACAAATTGAGAAAAAGTTGAATACAATGCTGCTTGGTTTGCACTATTCCAATTACTTAAATATTTTTTAAAATCTTCTAAGATTGCCTGTTTAAAACCTCCTATCATTTCGATTACTGAGAATATACCTTTGAGCTCTTCGTGGGACAAGAGTTCGGATTTCTTTAGTGGTGTATAAAATAAATCTAAAATGATTTTAATTGATTCACTAAAACTACAAAGAGATTTCATAAGTGATTCTACTAATTTTTTACGATTTTCATCTGCTGGTGTTTCGACTATATTATTATCTTTATTGCTACTATTATCTTTATTATCTTCTTTTCTATTTTTTGGTGAGTGTTCATTACTGAGATCTTTTTTACTATCATTATTACCGCCGTTTTCTAATGATGTATTTAATTTTACATTACTACCACTATTACTATTGGTAGTTTTACTATTATTACTATTATTATTTACAGGTGTTGGTGTTGTTGTTACAATTGTCGGATGAGAACTTGCTGAAGTTGTAATAGTAGATGTTGATGTAGCTGTATTATTAATCCAAAAGTCCATCGCCTTTTTATGATTCTCTTGTATAACCGGTTTACTTAATTCCTCTTTGGCTTGGGTAGTTGACTGAGCCGATACTGTGGTTGAATGATTTGGTGGTTGTGAAGGTTGTTGTGAATCAGTAAGACCACCAATTAATCCGCCTACAATACTAAACAATCCACCTTTGTCATCTTTATCTTTATCTTTTTTCTTCTCTTTGTCCTTTTTTTCTTTTTTCTTTTCTTTTTTCTCTTTTTTTAATTCTTTATCCTTATCTTTTTTTTCTTTTTCTTTATCTTTTTTATTTAAATCCATTTTTTTAGTTTTTTTTAGTTATGGATATGATGGTGATTATGATGATGGCTATTTATTTTTATTATTATAAAAGAAAAATATTATTTATTATTATTATTATAATTAATTATTATTAAATATATATATATAAATTTAATTTTATATATATATTTATATTCCTATAATAACAAGAATGATTTATTGTTATTAATACTATTAAACAGTTATTGATAAATTTATAATGTTATTACAGTGAACTATAAAAAGAAATTATAAATAAATATATTCTTTTTTATAGTGTGTGCCTAGTGTGTTTGTTATTATTATTATTATATATAAATATTTTAATTTTTTAAAATTTAATTGATTAAATTTAAAAAAAATATAAAATAAAAAAAAAAAAAAAAATAATAAATTATAATTATATATATAAAATAAAAATTTAAATAAAAAAGTTGTAGCGTTTTTCCCTTTCTATTTTTAAATTTTATTATTTATTATACAATTGATTGGTGTTTGTTATTATTATGAGTGTTTTTATTATTTATTTGTTATTATTGATACAATTATATGTGTAAAACTACTGCAAATTTAATTTGGTTTTTATTAATTTTAAAATTAAAAAAATAATAATATAGAAGGATAAGTGAGTGTTTTGGTAGTGGTTGTTGTGTATGTGTATGTGTATGTGTGGTGGAATCTATTAAAACAAATATTTTTTGGGATGTGTGTTGAATTTTTATTATTATTTTTATTATTATTATTATTATTTTAGAATACCATCAATTTAAAAAACTATATAACAAATATTATTTTTTTTAAAAAAACTATAGTGTAACAACAATTATTTATTAAATAAATTAATAAATAAATATAAATAAATAAATAAATAAATAAATATAAATAAATAAATATAAATAAATAAATAGATAGATAAAAAATAAAATATAAAATATTATTATTAAAAAAATAAAACTTAATTTAATTTAAAATAAAAACAAAAAAATTATTATTATATATAAATATAGATTTGAATATGAGAGTGTGTTTTTGAGTGTGTGGTAAACACACTTATTATTATTATTTTGATTGTAACTTTATTTGTATATATTCAAACTATATTATTTCTATTATATTTGATGTGTATAAATCAATTTATATAAATAATAATATTTTTTTTTTTTTTTGTTTAGTTTTTGTTTTATTAATTAAAAATAATTATTTTTCTATATATAATTTTATTTTTTTTTTTTTTTTTTTGTTTATAAAAAAAAAAT